GAGTAAGTTCAGTCCGCAGGCATGAATGGTGGTGGGAAGTTACTTTAGTTACTTTACTTCAGTTAGACTGCATGACCAACAGTACAAGACTTTAACTCAATCAACCAACCATACTGACAAAGCAGCAGCCAATGGGAAATCTGCACTGCTCTACTCCCATATAAAGGAGGAGGTAGAGAGATCCTCTCAGAAGTGAGTGTTACGCACCTGTTTGTCCACCACTCCCACCCAAGCAGCTCCGTGACGCAGGAGCAACCGAACAGCCTCCGTCTGTCCTGCTTTACTCGCACACATCACACCCGTCCAGTAGAAATCATCGCGAAAGTTGACGTCACAGCCTCGCCGCAGGAGCTCCTTCAGGGCCTGAATGTCTCCCTCCTGAGCGCATCGGAGGAGTCTGTGTCCGTCTCGCTCGGAGCTGCTGACCGCTTCGCCACGAGCAGCTTCTCTTCTTCTTCGTTTGGGTCCTCGTGTCAAAAGATAACGGGCGATCATGATAAAACTGTACAGTTATCATAAACTAATCTCTGAAGGAATGCAAATGCTAAGATTAAAGAAGACTACTCATACTGTATATACTACTACTGTGAGATTTTTAATGAATGTTTTGAAGAGCACACATACTGTATAGATGACAGACTGATGCAACACTATTTAACTGTGTAAATACATGCAACACCAATTTCAATGCAATTTATTTGTACTTTTAAACAATTTAAACAAATACACCTGTAGCCAAATCTCAAACAGAAAAAGTAGATTTTCATGTCATGATTTCATTGTATGCTTACCAACATTCTTCAAAATATCTTATATTGCGTTCAGCAGAATACAGAAATTCATACAGGCTTGATTTCATTTTTAGATGTTCTAACGGTTATAATGACATTACAAGAGCAATGTCTCGGTTTAAGATTTTATTTCCTCATCCTCCCACCCTGCCAAAATGCAAATACATTTACAATTAATTTCAGAATTTCAGGCATGTCATGATGTTTTGTTTTTTGCAGCTGTGCTTTTAAGACATGTATGTAAAATGTTGCTAAACACAGTTAGGAAAAATATAAACCCTGGCAACACATCCGTATCTGCTTTAATGTTTTGTATTGTTGTTGGTTTTTAAGGCGAGACACTACAGGCAAAACAGTTTTTTTTAATGCATCTGGAAACTTTTTTGGGCTTTAATGGCTTTTCATCAAGTCATATTCAATATATTTCAAATATAACACACACTGAAAAAAATGTTTCCCTTAGGGCAAGTTATTTATTTTTCATTGGCTCAAGTAAAAAAA